CCCCCCCCCCCCCCCCCCCTGAGACGAAGTGCTCGCAACGGCACTGAGTATACATCTTTTGAAAACAGGCGAGGGGTTATTGCATGTATGTATTTCAAGTCTAAATAGAGAAATATGGCTCCAGATTGGCATAAATTTTGATGTGACTTTGTGGTTTACACGGTCACGTGGAAGGCCTAAACTGACTTTCTAGGGGTCCCTAAGTAAGATAATGTATATACTAGAAATACATTCATGCAATAACCCCTCGCCTGTTTTCAAAAGATGTATACTCAGTGCCATTGCAAGCACTTCGTCTCAGGGGGTGTGTTCACCATCTGACAACTAGCTGACAACCATCTGATACACTTCGACCATCATACACAATCTACCCTAATTATTTCTAATTCAGCGCATGCGCAAATAAATTCTTTCAAGCGTGCATGCTTTACATGCTTGAACTTGACATTTTTGGACGGTTATTTTAAAATTGTTTACTTTTCTGCTGTATTTTGTATCCAGTTCACCAGTTATATAATATTTTGTTTTTGTTAGGGATGTTATGTTTGCTTTTTTGCCCCGGGGGTAGGGGGCTAGCTGTAACATGATTTTTGTCATTAAACTTTCCCCTGTACCCAGGGGCTTTGTTAATGTTTTGTTCCATCCTCTTAACAAAAGCCCCTGGGTGGTTCGGGGGTCGACCCCCGGGGAAGCCGATGATAAGTGCATTAGCCCCGGCGGGGCTTTTGAAATTAAGGATTTGGAGGTTTTGCGATCACTGATAACTTGATAATAATATAAAACAAAACACTTCTATCTGCAACTTTTACAATCACTGATAACTTGATAATAATTTAAACCAGTCAAGTTGTAGTTTCATTATCTGAGAATAATACATGGGAGCGCGGAAATACCAGCTTTATTTCGAGTGTTGATCATGATATCTCACAAGTGAGCGCAGCGAACGAGTGAGATGTCATGTTCAACACGAAAAATAAATCTGGTATTTCCAACCACCCATGTATTTTTCTGTTTATTATATAAAGGACAGTCTTTGAAAAGCGATAATTTTTACAGAAAAGCGATAATTGCGACGCTGATTATATTAACATACGGTTATTCCGGTCAAATAGGGGTTACGAAAAAATTCGTCAAAAATTCAATTCTAAGTTGACCCCAAATTTTATTTGATCAATAGCAAGCGAAAACATATTTCTTTGATCTGGTTATGAATTTTTTGTCTGAATCGATGTAACAATGGAGATATTCGCTGCCTAATATGGCATATAATAAAGAGGTTCGAAAATAATAAACATTAAGAAAATCTGTAAAATATTCACTTTTTACAGAAATGTCTCTAAATTTCGTCTGCTAGTCAATAAATATCTCTAATTAATAAAACAAAATCATGTTTTGTGAAATATTCCCATTAACGCGCAAACGCGATTTTGGTAGTGCCGTAAAATGACATCTAAAATCGAACGTGACCTGGGAAAACCAATTTCGACGTCTCTCTCCTTCAATATTTATCCGATTGAATTAAAACTTTCACAACATTAATACTTCATATAGACCTATATTCTGACAAAGTTTGAAGGATTTTGAATTTTCTCATTTTACACGTCTTACCTGAATATTACAGACAACCGCTCTTAAACAAGTACTGGTCAATAAACAGAAATGTATTTTATTTCATACTATTACAATTTTATTTTTATACTATAAAAATAAAATATAAACATGCAGCCTCTGACATGCAGCATAGAGTATGCAAATTCGAGGCAAAATTATTGTTGAATCGGTTTATTTATAGGATTTTATAACAAATAGTAACTATAAAACTTTATACCTTGTCTTCACATCGCTTTATTCTGTTAGCCAATGCTTTTAAATTTGCATATTTTAGAATCAGTTCCTTTCCCGGTAACTGCATTTCTAAATGAAATCATCGTGAGTAGTGAGTGCTGAGCAGGCCGTTTTACTATAAACAAATTTTAGTAACAACTTTGAAAAATATATCGTTGCACATTCGGTCACAGTCGGAAAAATGTTCATAGTATGTTGTGCCGTCGCTTGCAACTAACGATGAACAGTCGCTCATAAAAACATTCGCGTGATTAGAATCTCCAATGTTTGTCAAGAACAACAACACTTAATTGTTGTTTCCTATGTGTACAATAATAAGTAAAAAAAACTTTGTGTGGTCTGAACGTGTTGGGCTAGAGACCTACTGGAAACCTTTACAGGCTTTTTAATGAGAATAGAGAATGTTTTATCTGCAACTGTTCACCTTTAGTTGCAACCGACGGTATTTGACAGCATAAAATTACCTGTGGCTGTGATAACTGATATAAATAAAATACAGTCTGGTTATACTGACTTGAGCGTGTCATGACAAACTCTTTATTGGAAAATTGCGAAGAAACAGTCGAATATAGAGGGTCGAATATCATACTTCAACTTGTATAGCTACAGTAACATTGGCACATAATGTTAAGAAGACAAGCCTTTTCTTACCTTTCGCTTCAGCAGTCTTTTCCATGCTTCTCTACGCTTTCCCAGGCGAGGTTCTCTTTCCTCGGCAGTCTCCTCGAGCAAACGTTGCCGTCTTCGCTCCCTTCTTTTCGTTCGACGCTCGGCTTTCTTGTCGTTTCCTTGCCGCTCTTCATGGCTCCATATCTTTTCAATTTGTATTTGATACCGTAATTGTTTGATAAAAGTTTTAATAAAACTAATTGCTTTTAAAGCTGCCAAATATTTTTGCAAATGTACAAAAAACTGTAGCGCAAAAAGCAAAATATTTTCATGAAGTATCTGTCAGCTAAAGTCGTCATTCGCCATACAACAACAAATTTTAAATTTGACCAATCGGTGTTTGCTATTCATGACAGTCCGCCATATTTTTGAGATCAGTGAGGATGACCACCCACGCACAGTGACCCACGCCCGCGATATTTGATGAACTTCAGACTTCTCTAATGCTTTCGTTTCCCTGGGTGTAAATAGCCGGGGGGAATTAGTACCCTCGCACGGCGCTTTGCGCCGCCGGCTCGGGGATAATGCGTTCAAACTGCTCATTCACGACCTCAGTCCATCACAAATGCACTTCATCTGATTTATTCACAAACTTTCATAGCTTTATGCCAATGATGTACAAGAAAGGTCTCCTTTTCTTATATCTCGATATTTGAATATTTGTTCTTCTTACATATCTTTCCAGTCTGAATTGGAAAATTTTAAGAAAACCGTTTCTTCCAATGGTTATCCTAAAGCACTTATAGATAGTTGCATTGAGACATTTCTTGACAGGATTTACAACACCAAGGACAAGGTCCATACATGTTTCAGGAAAATTGTTTACTTTTGCCTTCCTTTCACTGGACATCATCGTCTACATATCCGTTCACAACTTAGTAAAGTTCTTGCTTCTGCGGCTTATCCACATATTTCCAAACGTGTTGTTTTCCGTCCCTCTTGTCGCCTTTCTAGTTTATTTCCATTTAAAGACAGGATTCCCATTGCCCCGATATCACATGTTGTGTATCAGTTCACGTGTCAATGCTGTAGCGCATTGTATGTTGGCCAAACACGCCGACACATTCACACACGTATCTCAGAGAATATATGGGAGTCTCGCCTTTGACTGGAAAAGAACGCCCTATCTCAACCTAGTCCGCGTGCAGGCCCAAGGGAAGAATAGTGGGCCTGCAAGCAAGGCCAGGTATTTTGTAAAACGCCCCTTTTCATAACACGCCCCATTCGCGCGCGCGTCAATTGTCAAAAAAGAACCAATGACAACAACCCAAATATTAACAAACAAACTCGCATTAAAAGGTTGCGGGGTTTTCTCTGCTTTAATATTCAAAATAGAAACAATGTGTAAATGGCTGTGTTTTAACTCCAAAATAGCAAGCAACGCAGTCAGTAATTGCCAAATTTGCAAGTGCTCATTTTCAACTAAAATCGGATCAGGCAAATTAGGACGAATTTCAACAGAAAACCAGTCTCAAACTTCAAATCGTGAGGGAAGTCGTGCGACCACATTAGCATTTAAATGTGTGCTTCGCTGTCGCCGTTGTTATAAATAAATTGTCTTACTTATATCAGATCGTGTGTGCAATTCTTGTTGGCGGCGAAAAGTACGAAATTTATTTCAGCTATTTCATTTGGTAAGAACTCTACAAAAGAAGAGAGCGTTCAGAAGTTGTTCAGAGTCCAGATCGTTTCGTTTCAAAAGGCAATTACCGTCTTCTGTTTCGCTCTCTCAGCGAAGCCTTGCAAATCGCAAAGTGTTTCCAATAGGCTTTATACATGCAACTGTCTCTAAATCTTCACCGCGAAAAGCGCTGTTTTCTTCAGTGCAAGAACAGAGTCAACACTAACCAAAAGATAATTTTCTTGAGGAACATATAACATATCAATTAAATTTAGTCTGTTTGAAATTAATGAAACTCAAGTAAAGGTTAATACTATAGTTTAATTACCCCGGCAGTCGTATTAAATGTTGCTATTCCAACACTTCACGACAAGCAATCCCCATTGGCATAACGGCAAAAACATCTCTTTCTTCAAGTAAACAATAAACAGTCTGTTCTTGTTCCATTTTTAATCGAAAAAGGTGATCAATTTTCGAATTTTAATTAGCTTATCGAGAGCCTTTGTAATGAATCAGTGATCTAATTATAGAATCCAACAGCAAACAGCCAATGAGAATGCCGCGTTCGTGGGCGAACGCGGAAAGTACAAAATACCGGGCCTTGCTTGCAGGCCCACTATTCTTCCCTTGGGCCTGCACGTGGGCTAATCTCAACGGTGTCTAGTATACTCGCTCACAAACACATGCACAAATATCCAGTCTCCGCTTCTGATTTCAAAATCCTATCATCAGGCACTTCTGAGTGGGATCTTCTTATCCGTGAAAGCCTATTAATATCTCAACTTAACCCTGTCCTTAATGCTAATATTAGATCTACCCCTCTTGAGTTATTTTAGTTATGTAATATTAACCTTAACTATTCTAACCATGCACTTAACATTAATCTTTACTTATTAACTAGTTACTGATAAGTTGTTTTCCTTTCTTTCTATTCATTTGTTCTTTCAAACTATGTAACCGTTTTTGTAATATTAAACCATTACTTTGTAAATATATACACCATACCCTGTATTAAATTCATTTAGATTGCTCCGAAGATGTTGTATTGTAAACAAGGAAAGTTAGCTAATAAATTTTTTAATTTTATTATGTTTGACTTTAAAGTTATTTGCTGGGTTCTGCTCTTTATCTTTAAACTAAGATTTCCGGCCCCTGGTGTATCAATTGCCACAGAGTTGATTAAATTAATAAAATTATTGAAAAGTATAACTGTATTGTATTGTATTGGGTTGTGACGTCTTGTGTTGTATATAAGGGAATTCGGAGTTACTACTGCGCATCCAAACGACGCAATTATCAAATATGGCGATTGCTGGAATCTCGATTAACTGGTGAGTATCAGGTATTTTAGTAATATTGCCCGGTTATATCAGAATTTAAAGAAATGTTTTAATGCTTTTATAGTGATTTTGGTTTAACCTCGCAATAAAACTTAAATATAAATACGTTCATGCATTAATTATTATGTAAATATGTTTATGCATGCATATTTGATTTTGACATAATGCGAAACTTAAAAAGAATAAATTTCTATATTCACGCCTTCTAGGATTAAAATTAACGTTAAAAGTATTGTAAAAAGATGAAAAGACAACGAGTAAAGGGACCGTGCAAAGTAAAAGATTGCAGGGCTGAATTTAACAGTGATTATCGATTACAACATAACCGTAAGCAACATGGGGGGAAGCAACGTGCCTTTTGAGATTGTTGGCGCACCGAGAAATCCTTTCGAAGCAGCCAAACGTAGGAATATATGATCTGCTCAAGGTGAAGAAGCGTCTGGAAGAAATATCAATGAAGATATTCCAACAAAAACATGCACAGACCAGCATCGACAAATTGCAAGTCGGTCAAATCCGTCATCGATCAGTGCAGGAAATTGAGACCGAAAATGAGCCAAGCAGTTTACTGCATGTGCTTAAAAGATAAATCGCCTTTCCCATCAAGAAATGATCCAGAACTGTGTGATGAAATAAAAAATGGCCCTCGACCTCAGGATCAGCTGATTGAAACAATGGACCTATTCCCGAATGAACAAAATGTTGTTCTAGATAAGTCTAGACAAAAATGTTATCACAACTTGAAAGAGCATCACAAAATTAGTAATATTCTGAAGTTTCGTTGCAAAATGTTGTAAAATGCGGATAATATAGCCCTGGGAAATTTGCCGTTTTTCAGTCATTTTGTATTACGTACGGGAAATTGATACCGCTTTCTGAAAAAAGGTATCAATTTCCCATGAGTAAATACAAAATGACTGAAAAACGGCAAACTTCTTAGGGCTATATTATCCGCATTTTACAACATTTTGCAACGAAACTTCGGAATATTACTAATTTTGTGATACTCTTTCAAGCAGTAATAAAATCTTTGTCTACACTTGTCTAAATCAAAATTTTGTTCGTTATGGAATAGGCCCATTGAAGCAGATGATGTTGGAACCACGTCAAGTCACAGTTAATAGAATACATGGTTTGGAGACTCGATGCGGATGGAAGTACAATATAACTCATTAACTATGTTGGTTTCGATTTATGCAAGAATATGGGCCTATCTCGTCACGTTTGTATTGTATTTTTTCCCACACAACCAATAGCAATGTTTAAATTGAGCATTTAATAATAATAGTAATAGACTTTATTTAAAGAAGGTATTACAAAAACCAGTTTAGCGAAACTAATCTTACACTGGGCCTTCATTTGTTCAAGTTGCGGATGGATAACTCAACCACAAACTTGTTATTGGTTATTTGAGCGAAAATACAATACACACGTGACGAGATATATAATAGGACCAAGTTCTTGCATAAAGCTGGACAATAACATAGTTAATGAGTTATATTGTACTTTCATCGAGTCCAAACCATCTATTAAAATAACTGTGGTTAAATCAAGAGGAAAAAGATGCTGCCATGGATGCCCCACTACTGGTAATGGAAGATATAGTTCATAAAACGTCCCTCGTTGACATTACTTTGCAGTCTCAGACGTCAGAGATGGATACTGATTTTGTCAGTGATAATAGGGAGTCTACCGAATCTAGTGACGCAGAAGGTGAATTGGATACATGGATTACTAATTATGCTGGGAAACTCCAACATATGATGAACAGTCTAGATCGAACAGGCCACTTAAATAAAAAATAAAGAAAGAGAAAAGCACAGGATCACTTTCTAACGAGGAAGTAGCTGTTTTGATGCAGGAAGCGCGGCGAAATTCTACCTAACAAGACGCTCTATAGAGCGTTAACTCGCTGGGGCTATATACAAATACGCACGATACATACAGTACACAGCTACTGTATTTCAATTAAGATTTAGGTTATCCCCGAGCTAAGCGGAAAAGTCGAAAACGAGCGCGAAAGGCTTAATACAGTATAAAAATGCAATTTGGTGCCCTATAAATATAACTTCCGGCGTTTTACAAGTAAATTTATATTTAGTATACGCTACATTCTTCTGTCCGCCGCCAGTTGGTCCGTACGCTAGGATTAAACTGCGCTTTAAAACGTTCAAAATAAAATATTTTGGGGCTTTTGGGCTCAAAATATTATCAAAATGAAGAGAGAAGTGAGACGAATCCACTGGTATACGGCTGAAAAAGAGAAAACCAACGATACCAAAGTTATCAATTAGGATTAAACCTACTGCATTTTTTATAATCAGTTTAATTGATAATTTTGAGCGAATTGTGAACAATACAATTTCGCTTGATTTTCAAGGGCTAGAATATACTGGGTGTTTTATGATACATTTGACATCCGCAATTACAATTTCCTACGCTGAATCGAACGGTGGTGTTTTTGTTCTTATTGCGCCATTTCGCAATAAAAATACAAGGACAATACGTACTGCGAGCGATTAATTGTCAATACAATTTCGCTTGATTTTCAAAGGCTATAAATGACTAGAATACTTGTGTTTATTAATTCATTTGACATCCGTAAGTACAATTGCTTACGCTGAATCGAACGGTGGTATTTTTATCCGTATTGCGCCATTAGGCATTTATACAAATACAATATCATATTTCAGACTACAGTTTTCACGTTTCCCGGCAGCTAACTATTAGGGACTGTTGTTACTGGTAGATTAATTTTATATTGATATGACACCAATATGCTTCTTATAAAGTAGTTATCTTTTAAAACTACGTTGTGTAGTTAACCTTTTACCTTGAAATTGTCTTTGGCTCGTTCATATTCAGATTCAGTATATTATGATCGTGCACGGGAATTCAACGATCCAAATTTCGGATTTTCAGAGTCGTGCACCAAGAAAAATGCATTAAATAAACTACCAAGAATGTCCAGAGTTAGACACAATGCAAAATCCATAGAAAACAGGTACAATTCGTTCAAAATTTTAACGAAATTGTTTGAAACATATTGTCCACTCCACGAAAGGCCCCGCCATTTTGAAAAGGTCAAGCAGCTCATTAATATTCTATTTTGTGGCTATCAACGACGATTGGAGATCCACTAAATGATGCCGAAACCTATACTCGCCCAGGGCACAGGGTGCCCCAGCGCGTAATAATCAACGAGAACTTTTAATAAATATTGGTCCTTGCCAACCAAAATTAGCGAATTTCCAAATAATTATAATACTGCGTCTGGCAAACACAACGGTTTTCGTCCCATTGGTACAAGCAACACCCTCAACTGGAATACAGCGTCCATAACGAGGCAGCATTTTGTTTCGTGCGTTGCCTGTCCCTAGAAGGAGTTGGGAGAGTATCAGCAGATAACTCATGGACAGTGAATGGAGTTAGACAGTGGCATAAGATGAAGAGTGTCGGAACTAAGAAGAAAAACTGGCACATCATTTCACGTGCCAGAGACACAGAAAGGCATTAAAAGACTTTGCCGCATTTATGAATCCTAATTAAAAGGTTGATGCGATTTTGGATTCATGTCGCCAGGATTTAATCAAGGAAGCAGAGGATGCCACACTCAACACGAGAGTAGTCAATACCCTTTGTGATATTGTCCGCACTTACTCTATGCATGATATTACGTTTCGTGGAGAAACAGATGAATCCAGTAACTTCTACCAAGTGGTCCAATTTAGTCAGCCGCAACTGTCCCCTACTGAAATACTGGCTAAACGAGAAGAGAATGCATCCTTATCATGTCACATATATGAGCAGATGTTCTCAAAATGAGTTTATCAAGCTTATCGGTGATGCAGTCCCAGATCGAGTTGTCAAGGAATTGGAAGAAGCACCAGCATTCTCAGTAATGGCTGACACGACTCCTGATGTGAGCAATAAAGATCAAATGTCCATCGTTGTGAGGTACGTCGCAGATAACATACCAGTCGGGAGTGTTTGCTTTCTCTTACGGTGCTTGAAGATAAATCTGGCGATGAACATGCAACAGAAACTTAAGATGTACATGTCTCAACAAGCATGGCATCGATGTGCAAAAGCTCTATTTCCAGTCATATGACTTCACAGCATGCATGTCTGGAAAAAGCTCAACGATAAAATCGAAAAGTATTTCCCAGAAAAAGAAATTCCTTACATCCCGTGCCAGGCTCATCGGTTGAACACATTTGTCGAGCGCAGTTGCAAAGTTACTACCATCGTGTCATCAATCAGATCAATGTCTACCGTCCTACAGTTATTATACTCGTTCTTCTCAAGGAAAACCAAACGGTCTGAAGCGCTTGCAAAAGCACAAGAGAGCATCGAAGATGCATTAAAGCTGCGAAACCTCTCCAGTGGATAGCAAGATCGGAATCTATCGACAGCGTTTGGATTTCTTTTGAATGCGTAGTTTCTCTGCTTCAGAAAATCGTAGACAAAGAGCTGAAATCGGATCAAAATATCCAAGATCAGGCCAAGGCACTTTTGAAGAAAATGAAAAAGTATTATTTCATTTTCAGCCTTGGGATAATGAGATTTATCATGCGTCACTGCAAGGTGCTCGTCGTTCAGTTTCAGGAAGAAGGTTTAAACTTGCTTGATGCTCATAGTTTGTTCTCCACAACAGCTAAAGCTCTGGAAGGAATTCGTAATGAAACTGATGTGGATAACCAAGTGAAGGCTGCTGCAGCGATGGCAAGGCAAGTTGGATGCGAGCCAGAGAAAGAATTCAGCCAACATGATAGGAAAAGAGTGCCCTCATTAAGACTGGATGACAGGCGTGGAAACAAATCGCAGATTCTAGAGAGAACTAGCTGGAACAGGGTTTTTGCGAATATTAAACCATTATCAGTCCTACAACCCCCGTGACAGGAAATAAATGAAGAATCGGCAGATAGCTTGAGAACAGTATGTTGCTAGGAGGAAGTATAACAAGCGGAAACCTGCAGTAGTGGGAGAACTTAGTATCCTGAGAGAAGATATAAACGACGGAATACCGTTAAAAACTCAGTCAGTCTCCAAACCGCTCCAGTCACTGTTGCTTCCAATAAGAGATCGTTCAGCAAACTTAAACTGTTAAAAACAAACTTCGTAGTAGAAGGCTTCAACACCGCTTGGAATCTCTGATGCTATTTTCAAGTGAAAGAGGTATTTCAAAGGGGTTGGATCTGAAAGCAGTTGTTCAAAACTGGTTAAATTTGAAAAAATACGTGTTCGATTCAGGGCTGTAAATACACGTAAATATCCATTTAGTTCATGTTTCCCCGGTGAAAATATAGTCTATTCCAAAACTGATTTCGACGTACTTTAGCTTTTCAGAAACCGTTGGCCTTCCTCAGTGAGATTATCAACTGTTTCACAAACATATTTGATAGTAAACAGCTAAAATATTCTCCGAGAGTCTATATTTTTGCTCTTCTACGCGAAAATGGAAACTCAAGAAGAAATGAGCCGCTATTTTTGGTCAGCGTCGACAAATTGCCCACCTGAACAGAGGGACTTCCGTCTACGCATGCGCGAGAAACGAAAGCGTGGAGTGCACGTGAGCGCGGGTTAATCGCGTGCCTGAATTCTAGAAACAAACACCAAATTTGCCAAAACTACTCGTGTTATGAAGTCGTAACTAGTCGTAACTACTCGTTTTCTTGTTTATTTAATGTTTCTACGCTCACAATTTTAGGCATTTCCAACTTAGAGGTGTTTGCTTTGGAATAAGAACATGAAAGTAGAAATAAAATCTTTGTTACAGCAGTTTAATTTCGCCGTACAAATATACCTGTTTTATATGTATATCTTTTTCGAAGTGAGATATACAAGTGCAACTTGACCTTCTTTAAATTCGTACTTGCCCTATTTTTGACTCCATAAAACTACTTTTCTCCATGGAGAAACTATTTGACTTTAAAAATAAGCTAGAATAATGCAGGTGATATAGGCTAGTTTCTTTGCAAACAGCGATTCAGTACTCGGTAGTGTACTTGTTATATATGATGAAAAGTCTAAAATGATTTCAACATCCATCAACAAAAAGGAATCGCGCTTATTACTACTGTTTAGAAGATAGAAAATTAATTTAATTCAGTAGGAACCCGTTGTATAATATAAACTGGAAATCGGCCAACAAATTGTCACGAATCGAAATACTACAATGGAAATAGGGTCCCTGAACTACCGATTTCACCGAACGATCAAGTTGCTCTGCAAAGATCGCCCCTTTGCCCAATTTTTATCGAGTAGATCATCGTGTAATCAAGTCAAGGATTATGTATACTTTAACATAAAAGAATAAAAAAACTGGTGATAAAGGGTAGATTTTGAATAAAATATCAATATCTGAATACAAGATCTGAGCGCTATTATGAAGCATTCGATACTTTCTCCAACAACATATTGCAGTGCTTTTTTTAACTATATATCTGGGGGGCAATTGCCCCCCAGAGAAAGAATTTGCCTCCCCCCCCCAGTAAAGCCATTTCTGCCCCCGAAGTGCGAAGCAGAATTGCTTATGATTGCTGTCAGAATTGCAGCTGATTTACTTGATAATGAGATTTATTTTATTTTACAGATTTTGCCATTTAACACAAACTATTACACAAAATTAGTTAACACAAACTATTACACACAATAGATTACATGGCTGGAATTACCACACAGAGATTAGTTCTCCAATAACGGGGTTCCAAGACATTCGAAATACACAGTATGAACAATAACAGGCTTGCAGACCGACAAACAAACAAACAGACAGACAGACAGACAGACAGACAGACAGACAGACAGACAGACAGACAGACAGACAGACAGACAGACAGACAGACAGACAGACAGACAGACAGACAGACAGACAGACAGACAGACAGACAGACAGACAGACAGACAGACAGACAGACAGACAGACAGACAGACAGACAGACGTGAAGATCAACAAACAGGCACAACGAATTACAATTAACGACTTACAATTTATGTGACAATAAATTTAACAACATGCTCGATTCGACAAGTTAGTCAATGCAATGGGCGAGTTGAATGACACTTCACACAAACAGACTTAAATGTTCTCGGATCCTCGGGTTTATAAATTTCCTTGGTGAGATACTTATAATGTTGCATTAAACAAAATTTGAAAGAGACCAAGGTTTTGTTGGTTTCTCTGATCAAACAGGGGAGTGTATTCCACACGTTGGCAACTCTGACGTAGAAGCAGTTTGGTAGCTCACTGTCTTGCACTTGGCTACTTCAAGTAAGATACCATTGATTATGCCCTTCCATAGCCTCCTCCACAGCCATCTTGTATATTCAAAGTGACTTTTCCAATTTATTTAATGCCGAGTAGAAATGTCTGAAAATTTATGTCTTCGATGTAACAGCTACAAAGAGTTGAAGTTATTGTTTAAAGTAAAATATAGCTGAAGTTAATAAATTAAAGTTTTACAAAATCTCTCTTCAGACTCGCGCGTTAGCCAAACCTCGACAGCTCATATTTTTCGTTCTGCCTTTTTTCCTGTTTTGCCCCCCCCCCACCCCCCACCCCCCAGTGAAAATTCCTTAAAAAAGGCACTGACATATTGCGCTTACTTTTTACAAAATTAAAAATATTCACACATGGAAAGATATGAAAATGTAGCTTGCATTACAAAGAAATGTTGGCTTATTATAAGTAATAGCATAGAAAGAGGCGAATTGGCTATTAAAACGTCCCGCCCGATGAGGGTCGTTTAGTAAAATTCCCTTGGGCGCCGCTCGATGAGGGCCGAATTGCGGGTATTCCGGCGTTGTTCTCGCAGGGCCATTAAAAACCAATTAACAATAAATAATGGTATAAATTAAATGGTATAATTGTTTTCCATGTCTTTGTTTAGTTTTGGCGATTTCAGATATATTCATTTTTTCTAATCGTACCCGCTTTGACGTCGTTTCGGGTAGGATTACAACTAATTCTACCTGACATGACGTAAAAGCGGGTAGGATTAGAAAAAATGAATATAATAAGGTGTATTAGTTATTACTTGCCCTGCGAGAACAAAGGGAATACCCGCAATCATGATATTACCTAAGTTATACCTTACACGTCCATTAAAATCAAGTAAAACCCTTTCAAAGACGCGTGCCACATTAAACTACAGGTCACATGGCGGTAGAGAACTCGACGAAGTATTCAGGATATTTCATAGCCAGTTTAAACGCTGCGGAGCACAATTCCTGTGAATTATGATGCCACACAGTGTAACAAAATTTACCTCTTTGTTCGGCTGTTCCAAGTACACTTTTAAGATACAAGTCGTCCGATTATATCATGTTGTTCGAAGCATCTGCTCAAAACAGTCCAACATAAATATCGCCACTCATCTTCTTCGAATGAAAATATAAGTTTTCCTTTCAATTGCTTTGCTTTAAAAATCAGTGAATCACAATGCTGTAAACTAAAATATCCTTAGAAATTGTAAGCAAAACATAGAAAAGCAAAATTTGCTGGAAAAAGCTCACGAGCCCGCACTATTTTCATGCAGCGTCGACGGAAGTCCCCTCTGTTGCGCACCTATTGTGCCCGCCTACAAATAAAACTTTCGGCGTTTCCGCCCATTCTCCTGTCGGCCACCAGTTGGTCCGTACGTACGTTAGGATCAAAACTGCGTTTTAAAGCCTTCAAAATAAAATATTTTGGGCTCAAAATACTATCAAAATCAGGAGAAAAGTGAGACGAATCCACTGGCATACGGCCGAAAACGAGAAAACAACAATTCCGAAGTTATCAAGGATCAAGCGGACTACATTTTTAATTAGTTTAAATAATTTTGATCGATTTGTGAACAATACAATTTCGCTTATTAATTAAAACTGCACATTAAAACCTTCAAAATATAATATTTTGGGCTCAAACTACTAACAAAATAAAGAGAAAAGTGAGACGAATCCACTGGTATTCGGCCGAAAAAGAGAAAACCAACAATACGAATGTTATCAAGGTCAAATGTATTGCATTTTTTATTAGTTTAATAATTTTGAGCGATTTGTGAACAGTACAATTTCGCTTGTCTTCCAAAGGCCATTAATCGCTAGAATAATGTTGTTTAGTAATACATTTGACATCTGTGAGTATAAGTTCTTACGCTGAATCGAACGGTGGTATTCTTGTCCTTATTGGGCACACAAAACCAAAGATAAGGTGCAGCAAAAAGTCAATTGTGAGAGTCCGAGATTAATTCGAAAGAAAATTTCCTCGAAAAAAGGAATTCGGAAAACGTGAAGGACTATTTTGAGCGGCTTGTCTTTCAAAGGCCACGAATCGCTAGAATATAGAAGTCAATTTTGAAATCAATTTTCCATCCGTAAATACAATTTTTCACGCTGATTCGAACAGTGGTATATTTGTCCTTGTTTGACGTATAAAACCAGAGATAAAGCCTAGCAAACAGTCGATCATGAGAGTATTAATAAAAATTAAGGAAACGTATTGATGCGAACTAATTAACAAACGGACAAACTAACAAACAGACAAACTAACAAACGGTCGACAAACCAACAGACTCACAGGCAGAATATAATGCGGTGCCAAAAATGGCACGGGTACCGAAATTAAAATTGTTTGAATTGGAACACCAACATGGCGGCTGTGACGTCATGTGCAAACGCTCTATAATACTAATTGAAATTGTTATATAGCTAGTGTGAACACCAAACGTGATTGGCTAATTTGTAGTCACGTGGCTTTAGATAAATGCAATGTATCCCGCCTTCAATGATCCCGCCCGGGCAATAAGTGAAAAATTGTTGCCCGCCCCGACCGGCTACGTACATAAATAAACAAAATGGCGGCACAAATTTATACTATTTAAATTTAAAAATTAAACGAGACTTACCTGTAAGTTGAAGTTTGATTGTAATTCTATCAGTTATCAGTAAGGAACTAGGGAGTCACATGAGATATGCATGCGCAGATCGAGTATTCAGCCTTTGAAGCAGTAGTGATTGCACGCAACAAAGGTGGGCTTGCCATCTCTAGTTTGGCCACATAGTGTGTTGGGTGGGTGACTCCCTAGTTCCTTACTGATAACTCATAGAATTACAATCAAACTTCAACTTACAGGTAAGTCTCGTTTAATTTTTAAATTCTATTTCGTCATCAGTTACGTCACTAGGGAGTCACATGAGACTTCAAAGCCGTGCAATCACTGCAAATTCTGGAGCAAAGATTTATTGTATAACAGTACAAAACCAATGTGTACGTAGTAACAACTAGAAATTTGTGTGGTATATGCCACAGTCTAACAGTATGTTAGTTTAAACATTAACATAAACATAAACAGAGTTTAATAAAGTTTCACCAAAATTGGTGTCCTGGTCAATGATGGGCTTTTTGTAGAACTTTGCTTTTTGGTGAGCCACAAGGAGCTGTTTTGTGTTTTCCCTGATTCCCTTTGTGCGTTGTATATATTCTAACAGGTGATGTGGGACACATAATTGTTTGTCCAGAGGAAAAGCCTTTTAAAGCAGTTTTAGTGGTTTGGAACCAGGTTTGGTAGTTTTCAATAGTTTGTTAATGGGAAAAACACACTCATCATCACCAAGTTTCATGCTGTCAATACTTAATGATTGCAGAGTCTGGCATCGCTGCCCAGACAAAAGTTCCATTAGCATAACCAGCTTTAGAGTTAAGTCTTTCAGTAACAGTTCTTTGGCAATTTTAGACTGTTTAAGGTGGTTTAAGACAATGCTCATGTCCCATATATTTTGTTGGGTTGGTTGGGGAGGAATAATAGTTCCTTGGTTTTTGGTAAGACAATTGGCTGTTGGACAATCATGTTCATTGCTTTCGGCCACCATATCTGTGTTGGCCAATATGGGATCACTAGGATCCCTGAGGCTTGATCTTCTTGTACTTTCTGTAGCTCTTGCATTATCACACTAAATGGTGGGAATGCATAGAAAGCAAATTGAGTCCATGTCATGTGAAAGGCATTAATGGCAATTGCTTCAGGGTCTGGTCTAAATGCTATGATGGTTGATTCTGGAAACAAATAGATCAATGTCAGGGGTAAACCTGAGCATGTTGCATGCCAAGGTAAGTATGTCTTTGTTAACTAAGACACCATTCAGTCCCCCAATTGAAAGACCGAGGCTGAAAGTCGGCTTGACAGTTTTCAACCCCTGGTATGTGTGCCATTGTTATCCATATTTTCTGGCTTTCATACCACTGCCAAATTCGTTTTACCAGGTGATTTAATCTAGCACTACATAGGCTGGTTCCCATTTCTCTAATGATGCTTTCAGCAGTGGTATTATCCACCATGATCATTGCATGGTTGCCACTTAGAATATGCTGAAAGGATTTAAGTGACAGAAAGACTGCTAGTGTTTCTAAGTAAATTATGTGTTCATAAGACTCAGTTTGGCCCCAGAGTCCACCAGTTGTTTGTCACCCAGTGCACATCCCCATCTCAGTTTGAAACATCTGATCTGTCTGTATGGTTATGTTAGGTTGCCCCCTATGCACTGGGTTGAATGCAGTGTCAATGTTATTTATCCACCACACAAGTTCTTCCTTGGCTTCAGCCGAGAGTGCACAGTGGCATCAAACTTTTCTTTGTTATGTTTAAGTGCTGCATTATGTCAGCTTCAGAAAGTCTGTAATGTAGTGGTCCCATTGCAACACCTGGGAAGTTTGAGATTACCCTAGCAACCTCACGGATAGTAGGGTATTCTTTCGTAAGGAGTTCCTTACATGTTTCTATGAGATTCAACTTCTTTCCAGGTGTTATAGTCACCTGCATAGTTTTGGAGTTCAGTGTGAAACCAAGATAGTCTAATTGATGAGTGGGGATGAAAACAGATTTGTCAGGGTGAGCTATAAACCCCAAGTTGTCTATGAGCTGTGTTGTGTCAATCACATTAGCTGCACAGTCATCATAGGTTTGACCTGTTCGTAAGGAATGTAAAGGGAGGATTGGTGACCCAATTTCCTGAGGTGACAAAGTACTGGCTTCATTAGTTTTGTGAACTTGCGTGGGCAACAGGCTACTAGGCCATTGGTGAAGCAAGTAAACTGGTACAGTGACCCATACCACGCAAATTTGATATTTGTGATGGAAGCTCGCTTTTGGGAACACAGTATAGTACGCATCTTTCAGATCGATCGATGATGCCATAAAACAGTTTGGTGTCAGCAGTCTAATGGCCGACTGAATTGACTCCATTTTGAAATGGTGGTATATTGAACATGAGCATTTGGTCGCTTGAGGATCATTCTGTATGATATGGGGGAGATATACTCTCCCGGCTCATGTTGTGATTTTTCTATTATACCCTTTGTCATTGATAAGGTTCGGTCGAGAATTCAATGTGAAGTCCACGAACCTAGAACCTCTGAGTCAGAGGTAATCTCATGCCATTTGGCAATGTGTTTTGATATTTGACCACTCTTAAAATGCACAATTTTGGTCTGAAAATATGATTTCATATTTGTATAAATGTTTAAGGCGAGGTTACTCACCTGTAAAGAGCTGAGAGGATTGATATTGCAACTGGGATTGCGTATTGTCGTAATCTGATCGTGGTCGCCATTGTTGTGTATTTTTGTATTGTTTTCTCGCATCTCTGATTGTGTTGCTAACTTTATTTGTAGCTCGTATATTTATTAGTTGACCCTGTAGGTCATCTCCAAATAGGAGGGATGTAACTGGAACATGCGAGGCGCAAAGGGTCGTGTATTCTTTGTTAAGATGCGGTTTTAGCATTTCCCGCCTTCGTTGTGATATTTCACACGACGCGTGTCCCAGTAGAGCAAGGGCGTCTGTGTTGAGTGTGATAAGCTCTCGGTACTCGGGCTTCGAGTCTTTTTGATAAAGTGACAGAAGTTTGTCGGTTGATTTTGCCAGGACAACTCCTGCTTTGGCCAGATTAGATTGGTTTGTGCTGGCGCGAAGGTCCAACTGTTTTGCAGTGTGGTCTATTCTCGCCCAGATTTCTGGGTTAATGCTTGGCGCCACAAGTCTGTCACAGTTGTCTGGGCGGGGTTATTAATCCCGCTTTTCTTTCAGCTTTTGATCGCTCAGTTTTTTAGACCAACGCTTATTGATTATGGTAGCGAGTTTCTCTGTAATAGCCGGGCCCATATCGTCCTCCTGAGAGAAACCATTTTCAATTTCTGACAGCAATGTGATATTGCAATTGTCAGTGACAGTGTCTTGCTCGAGTCGAGCGTTAATGGTTTGAGAGCTTTTTGCCGAGTCGGCATTTGATGGGCCACAAAGTGCTCGCGTATCTTCGTAGCTGCTCTGGTTTTCTTCTACTTCCTCAAGTCCAGATGTCTCTGTAGCCAGGCGAGATTTCTTTCGTTTCGCGGGAGGTGTCTTGTCTTCGTGGAGACGTTTCAGCAACTTTTCCATGATTGAGCCAACCATTGTATGTAAGGACTGGTTTAACTGCCGTAGAAAACTGCTTGATTTCGCCAGTAAGTCGTCATTTTCGTTGGATCCGTCGATGTCCACTTCGACAAAGAGGTCGTCTTCCTCACTTTGACCGCGCGATACTTCGGTAGTCGGTTTTTCTGAATCGAAATTCTCCATGAATAAAACTTGCAACTGAATACTTTGAACGACACGTGCAAAAGTGAATACTCGATCTGCGCATGCATATCTCATGTGACTCCCTAGTGACGTAACTGATGACGAAATAGAATTCTATATTTTCGATACCGAAATGTAAACAAATCCTTTGTTTACATACGGACTGTACCGCATCTTAAAACATTCCTTAAAAATAGTTCTAAACTCCAATTCCTGTGAATAATGCACGAATTTCGAGGTGCAGTTCTGGCAAAAAGGACAACCTGTTGCCCCCGTGCTGCCCCCGCAATGTTTGGGCAACGGGCGCAGTTGCCCCCGCTGCAACCGTGGCTCCGGCGCCCCTGAATATTATCATAACCTGGGGCTTTCCCGGTTTTGAATGACATACAAATTTGTCTTAATTCAGTCAAGGAAGTTGGTTTTAGGAATATTGTTTCACTGTTGGCGGGTCCTAAACAGTCTCTAAAAGATGAGATTACAGTCGGGATTTTATTTGCTATAAAGATGGGCCTATGTTTGAAAAGAAATTACAAAACCCACTGGCGATTTCACTATGGTCAGTAACTAATCGATCGCCAACTTGAAATGTGCACGGTAAGGATTGCTTCTGTTTTTCCTTGTTGGTGACTTCATTTATTAGTTTCCAGGTTTCTTTTAGATTGTTTTTGGCCAATTGAAATTTATCGTCATAATACATTTTCTTTGCAATTCTAATCAGATGATCTAATTTGTTTTTATGGGTATTATATTAAATTTTAGTCTGACGTATCAAAGTTGGCTGTTTCAACAACTTCTTATATAATCTTTTTTCCTGACTGAAGCTAATAAGCTTCGCGGAGATTTTGTTTTTTTGGGTTGTTGTGTTTTATTGTTTCAGGAGGAAAGCAGTCTTCAAAATGTCTACTATATTCTGAGAAAAAAATTTCAAACATTTCGTTAGGTCCTGGTCAGTAAGAATACTTGACCAGTTAACATGCGAAAAGCAAGATTGAAAACTGTTAAAGTTTGTATCGTTATAATCACGCGTATTTGTTTTTAAAGTCTTAGTATACGGAAGTTTTTCGTTGTTAAAAGATGCAAAAAATTGGTAGGTGATCCGATATATCATTAATGATAATCCCATTTGTAATATTCTGTGTGAATATTCTGTGTGAATATCGATAAGTGTGGCAGTGTGTGCAGTTAAGCGTGTGGGTCTAGTAATAATTGGAATGAACATGTAAGGAAACAAAGAATCTATGAATTCCTGAGTGACCGCGTGTTCCTCATAACGTACAGTAGCAAGTCAAGGTTGAAATCACCCATCAGATAACAGTTCTTATTATCCTTAGAAATTGTTGAGAGAATTCTATTTAATTCATCCATAAAGTGATTAAGATTTTGATTAGGTGGTCGGTAGACTGTACCTACATACTATGGTGTTTTTCCCAAGAGGGTTACAAATTTCAACAAACAGAGATTCAATTACTTCAGGATTAGATATTGTGCAGTCTTGAAGTAGTTTGTATTGAAAAAGATTTCGTAAGTAAATACCGACTCCACCGCCAGTTTTATGTTTACGGTGGTTGGAGATAAACTAATAACTGTAGCGTCTAGCATAATCAACATAATAAACATTAATTATGGACCAGGAGGAAGTAAGCAAGATGGCGATATAGATGCAACTGTAAGATTATGTTCTGTTAGAGATTATTAAAGAAAGCATAGATAACAATGTTATAGACAACATTATATTGGCGACGAAGATCGTTTCATATACAAGTACCTCAAATGGCGACTAGCTTACCAGAATTTGCTTCTTTTGACGCCGAGAATCGGGAAAATATCGAAATTCGATAGCAACGATGGTTCATGCGATTCGAAAATCTACTGATTGCACTCGATATAAAAGACAAGAAAAGAAAACGAGCGTTATTATTATGCTATATCAGTGAAAGTACTCTAAATATCTTTGAAACACTGCCAGAGACAGGCACAGAAGACGACTATGACGAAGCGTGTCAAGCTTTAAATGAACACTTTAAACGTCGCAAGAATACATCGTTTGAAATATTCAAGTTCAGGAAAACAAACCAACTTGTTGACGAAACTCTCGATCAATACCATGTACGACTCGTCCAGAAAGCTAAGTACTGTGAATTCTCAAACTTAGATACTGAGATAAAAGCTCAAATTGAGCTAGGGACCAATTCCAAACAACTTCGACGATATGCTTTCCGTAAACCAAAACTGACTTTGGCTGAACTCTTAGACTATGGACGGACACTTGAAACTGTTGAAGAAGATACGAGCGGAATTGAGCAAAATATGAATGAAACACCAATGAAAGATATCCACGCCATACGATGAAATGCGGCTGCTACAACGCCTAAGAAAATATGGTTCTTTTGTGGATTAAACTGGCCACATGTGAATGTTTGTCCGGCAAATGGGAAAACATGCAACCATTGTCACAAGCAAAACCATTTTGCACGATGTTGTAAATCGAAAATTTCAGCTGGACAGCGTGAAAGTAAGCTTCCTCAGAAATCCAATGAACGAAGATCCCAAGTGAAACAAATAGACGAACAAGGTACGAATTCAAGCTCAGATGAATATGTTTACACAATAAAAAAACAAACCCCTGATACGAACAAAGTCGTTTTAACATCTATCACTACTTCACCCACAGGAGGAACTGTTAATGAAGTTAACAGTGACTGTCGAAAACGAAATTTCTACACCCATATTAAAATCGATGACATAACTATTCGTGTAAACATTGATTCTGGTGCCAGTGTAAATATTATCGATAATACTAGTTTTGAGAAATTAACACGCCAGAACAACATCCACTTGATGAAAAGCAAAATAAACCTTTTTGCTTTTGCCACTAACACACCCCTCGACATCAAAGAGTATTTCGAAGCTTCAGTTGAATCAGGAACAAAAATTACCACAGCCCAATTTTATGTGATAAACACTGATGCTGGATGTCTAATAAGTGGAAACACTGCAATTGATCTTGGGTTATTAAAGCTAAACAAAATTACATTTGTTACATCTCGACCTGAAACCCATCAACCTAAGAAAAATGCTCCAACAAATAGCAAGTCTAGACCTAAAAGATTGAGAACCTTATTTTCGAAATATGATCATTTATTCCAAGGAATCGGAAAAGTCCCAGATTACAAAGTCCATTTACACATTGATAAAACTGTCCAACCCACAATTCAAAAAGCCCGCAGAATCCCATTTACAATGAGAACCAAACTATCAGAAGAACTGCGACGTCTTGAATCATTAGATATTATTGAAAGTGTAACAGGCCCCACGTCGTGGGTATCTCCCATTGTTTGTTTCCCAAAACCCAACAATCCCGACCAAATTCGTCTTTGTGTTGACATGCGTATACCCAATAAAGTCATTTCACGGGAACGTCACCGTTCTCCCACAACTGAAGATTTAATTGAAAAACTAAATGGTGCTGCATATTTCTCAAAACTTGATCTAAGCTCTGGGTACCATCAACTAGAGTTGGATGAAGCTTCGCGTGA